GATTATGTAAATTTCAAAGTTCCATCTGTAATGTCTTATCTTTATAACATCCCCCTGTGTTTTCTTATTTCCAAAAGAAAAACAATTTAGAGGTGGAAAAACAAAAATGGAAGAACTTACCCCCATTATGCTAAAATTTCAACATGTCCAATCAGTCACCCATATGAAATATAAACCAAGTTTATTTAGTTAGAATTTAGGTTAGTTTGTTAGTGTTGTTAGTCAAAGTGGATAACACAATTTCCTAATAACTACATCTATCTGCTTTAAGCCAAGGCTGAATTCTCGTTTCATATTAATTTCACTGCACAAGCAGAAGATTCAGCTTCAACCAGATTGTGACACCAAAATATGAAATCGTCATTACCTTAAAATTGTCCCTTAAAGCAGTAATAAAAACATATTTATGAAACAAAACCTTCAGTGTACCTAAATAGTTTAAAATAAGAAAAATATCACACAGCTACACACTAAACTGAGGTCATATTTACATAGAGCATCCTAAAACCCATCAAAGGCCATCAGCCTACACATTCACTCTCATTCACACTCAAGCACTCATCAACACCCCATTGTAAGAAAGATGCAGGATGTTACCCCAGATTTCAAACCAAAATTCATCCTGTAAAAGTCTTAAACACAAATATTATAACACCATGGTTGAAAAAAATAATAAAAAGACATTATTATCCAATAGTTCTAATATTGTTCAGTTTTGAGTGAACCTTTTTAAAAACTCCAAATTATACACACAACCGTATTTCATGATAGCCCACTGTTATTAAATGGCTACCTATACCCCCTGTAGGAAAACCCAAAAACCGTTCATGTGGTCATGTAATATGCGAAATGGGCTGCACACGAAGATCGTCCTACAAGAAACAAAGTCATTCATTAGCGTTTCAACATGTCCCACATTAACAGTGTAGAAAACACTGTTACGCAGAAAAACATCCATATGTTCTCATTTTTGTTCTCTTACAATCAGTGAGGGTGTTCCATCCTGTCAGGAAACCTAGAAATTTAAGTGATTGTCAATGTTACAGTATTATAATAAACAATTGGATCATTCCAGTGCTCAAGCCTGGAACTGATGCAACACATTTCACCCGCTGAGAAAGTAAAAACATCTGTAAATCTGTTATTTTGTACTTTTCATTTCAACACAAAACACAGTCCTAAAGCAATTCACATCAAAATCCAAGAATCCTGAAAAAGTGAGCTGGAAATAGCACAGAACTGAAGCACTCCCAAAATGCAAATAAGGGGGGTCAATCAGTCCCCCCGCTGTGAAACAAAACTTGCATCCAAAACGGAGACACCGCTGTCCCACAGAAGCACATTTTAACAGAAAGTTAGTAATACAACATCCAGCAAAAATATTTAACAATATTTCAGAACACAATCTTGAAACACAAATCACTTCCGCACAATCTCAGCACAATTCAGACACAGACAGACGAATAGACAGCAGCGCGTGGTGGGACATAGGCTACAGTATAACGGGGGAAGACAGACACACAGCCACAAACACAAAGAAACATACAAAACACAGAAACACAGACAACGTTGTAGTTCAGTCAAGAAAAGACAGAAAAAAAGAAAAGAAAACGTCAGGATCCGGCTAAAAGAATGTATGACGCATCTTTTAATTGTCCAATTTCAATTTTACAAATCCCTTTTATTCTCATTTCAACTTCTCAGTCCTACACTTCAGAGCTGGGTCAAGCTCGAGGCGAAAATAAGCCTCAATTTAGTTTATTCGATCACTCAATCCGCCCAGTGACAAAAGGTTTTTTCTTTTTCAGCTGGGGAGAGCGATTGAACCCGTATTAAATCAAATAATTTATTTTAGTCCTTTATACTATAAGCAACCCGCTTAAGGGTGCCAAAGAAAGGTGATCCAACCTGCTATTAGTCCTTTATTTTCCACGAGTGATACAGCTCGGTCCAATTAACCTGCTATTAGTCCTTTTCCATGAGTGATACAACTCGATCCAATTAACCTAAATAATTATAAGTCCACTGGAGATGAGTCGAAATCTCCGGCTGATACAAGCCAAAAACTAACCAATACACAAATTTCCAAAATACTTTTTTAGAGGCCCAGGCATTGCTCCTCAGGGTAAAAAGAATATACATTTTTTAAAACCCAGCTTAAGTCAGAGTTAACGTAAAGGCTCTGTTTTGAACTAGCCACAGTTCCCTGTAATGTGTATTTATTCAAATCCTTAAACAACTGACTCTTTTAGAAGGGATTTTATCTACCTCTGCAGCATCTGAATTCTGTGAGGCCGCACACAGCAAATCAGCCCCGGTCCGACGACACACGGCGCTTCAGACAACTAAAAAAATAATCAAATACTGTCTTACCACACCGAAGCGTCGGGCCGAAACGGATCAATCAGGACCAAACAGCCGTCCGCCGAGACTCCAGAACCGGCACGAGCCCCCAATTGTAAAGGAAGAAAATATTCTAACATAGTTAACTTTGGAAAAAGATTGGCTTCTGATTCTTCCCTTCCCCAGGTACACTCGGCGAGCTGCGTTTGGTAATAAAACCAACATTGCGTGTTGACGTCACAGAATTACAGAGTTTAATCCAATATAAGACAATGCATACACTTTAGAAATAAGACAATGCACAAACCTACACCAGAAACTGCAGAACAACAGAGACATACATTCCATTACCTGACATAGGAGGAAAGAAAGCAAAGAGTACAGAGACATCTTTGGAGAGTTGCAAGGGCAAATCTGATCTTTTTCTTCTATTTAGAAAGCTTTATCCTCTTGTATCTAATCCATTCAAAAAGGGGCTGGCCCTCGGTCCTCCAACCAAACGCCATCTCTGACACTGCTAGGGCTTCCCCTTATTTACTGCAAACATCTGGGGTCATTTGCTTCTTTGTTTTAACAAGAAAAGGCGGAAAGCTTGTCCTGGCATCTAGAATTCCTAAAGTCATAAAACACAAGATAAGCTCTCACAGACAGCTTGTGGAATGCGGGGGGCCTCACCATAAATTTTCAGGAACAAACTTAAATTTAGTAATCTGGTTCAAGGAAAGGTTATCTTCACAAACTTGTTCAAAATAAGAAATATGAGAAAAGGAGAGTATACAACATACCTTTTACACATGCCATAAGATTAACTGTAATAAAGTCTAAAAAATAATCATTTTTCTTTAACAACAGCCAAGGCTAATTGATTTTGTACAAATGTTTGTATACTATAATGTCGAAAAGTTTGGAAGCGAAGATGAGATACTTTTATTTTCAATGCACTGATGTTTACAGAATTCATGTTATTTTCAGAGCTCTGGAAAATCTTACCTTGGGCACATAATTTGTACACACAATAAATAAAAAAAATGAAACAATAATAAATCACTGTAAAACAATAAAATAAAATAAGGAAATAATATCCCCACCCCCCAGAATTAAACACCATGTTGCAGGTGTTACTTTCTCTGCCGTTATTATATTTTGACACAACTCTCTAATGTCTTGTATAGAAAAACTAATCTGAGTAGTAACTTCTTAAATGGAATGTTTGTAACTTAGATTCCTTGGCATCAGTGACTGTCTGTAATAAACTGTCAAGTCAGTAATCTATCCCATGATGATACCACGTTACAGTATGCTAAATTAAAAAAAAAAACTTTTATTCAGAGATTTTATTAGCTGTAAACCATATCCTTTTCTGGAAATCAAATATATACATACTTTTTTTATTCAAAATTAAAATTTGTTTGGATTATTTCATAACTTTTATATTTATTTCTCTTAAGTAACAGTGTAGTAATGGTATCTGTGTAAATAAGACGTAACCAGTGATGCATTCGGTCCATTTTAATTAGTTGAAATTAGACTTAGTATTAGACTCAACTTTATTTATCCCTTGGGATTACTCCTTCAGGGAAAATCTGGTTCCAGTATCTTATATAGAGTATTATACAGTATAGTAGAGAATTATAATTTCTTTGGATTTTGTTTTTTTACTGTTTTGCTGCTTGTTCCTTAAATCATATCACCTGTTTTAACCTGTATTGTTGTCATAACTGTCAAAGGACTGCCAAGATATTTCCAAGGCCTGGCTGTCACATTCCTGACTCACTGAAATTCAGTTTTTTTTTCTATATTCCTTTGTGCCTTTACATTTTTGGGCCAGTAGGTGTCAGTGTTTGAGCAGCCACTTCAGTCCACTGGTCCCCAAGGACTAATATGGACTCAAAAGTTGATCACATTTTCTGGTAGTTGTTGCAAAAAATACAAAGGGACCAAACATTTATTAAAAGTGTTTAAAATACACATAATACTTTGATAATTATCTTTGTTATATTAGTTTAGTTTTTTTTTTAAAACGGAAAAAAGGTGCATTTGATTAGATTTTGGCAAGATACCCTATGTTCCTTTATAGGACGTCCATGAAAATATAAATTTTAAATTTAACTATCAGAAGTGATTCTTTTAGCACTGGGAGGGGAGGGGGGGGTTCAAGGAACTTTAATAGGATTAATATTTTTGGTCATTATAAGGAGATGATGGTGCAAAACAGTTTAAGCACGACTGATAATTGGTCACACTTACCACCCCCTACCCTGCATCTTATTAAGGTGTTTGACTGCCATCACTTACCATATTTAAATAAATGGGTGACTGACAGCACTAAGGCGGACTGTAGAACAAATGCAACCGGCAGAATTAGGTATAATAAAGTGGATATGCATTATATTTAATTAATTGGCTGGTGGGGCTAGTTTACTAGGGGTACCTCTACATGAAAATCCAGAACCTAAGAACAGTTTCCAAAAAAAAAAAATTATAAACAAACCTCTGAACTTTTTTTCTCCAAGTTTGAAGACATTAGGTTTTCCCATCTGGAAAGCTTTCTGAATTCAAAATGTCTGGAACAGCATTGAGTTTTATAGCGTAGCCCAACTAACGCCTTAGGACAGTTTCTAGCTGATGCTAAAAGTAACTCCATATGTTCTCATCAGAAATGTCTCCGTTGTGCCGATGTGAAGATTCTGCGGCAGCTGGTGGCCGTCCATGAAGGTATCGAGGCCATGCGCTGGCTGATGGAGGAAAGAGGCATCTCAACCAGCCACTGCAGCAGCTTATCAGGCAGTATGAGCAGCTTGGTGACCATCGAGGACCACGTTCCCCCCATGTCGCCCAGCAGGTGTGTGAAGCTTATAGGACACCATTCCAACCTTAAACAATCATAGAGCCTTAGCTACTGCTTAGATCAGCATTTATGCAAACAGAGGGCTGATTACCAAGATTTCAAAAGATTTGTTTAAAAATTTTTTGGTCTTACTCTTATAGTTTAAAGTCCTTTATTATATCAGCAAAACCAATGTAACCAAGGTTTTCTGTAGCTTTAGGGGACATGCAGTAGCCCAGTCCAGCCTCTTTCTATCATTTCTTTCCTATGGATTGCTGGTCAGCTGGCCATAAAAAGGTTCCTACACTCCTTTCCTCTTTCTGGTCACAGATATCAAGTTCAAAAAGTGAGGATGTGTAAAAACGGTAAAACCTCCCATCATGCTGTTTTAACGAGTCTTTATTGAAGTGTGGTAGAAAATGTCAGAAGGCTGGAAGTGAACACAGTGACATGTCAGATAATGTTTAAACCTGGATCCACTGATCTGATTTCCAATTTGTTGAAATATTCTCAACCTTATGGTTTTCTTTCAGATTGAAGGTGGAGCTAAAATTTCAGTTTCTTCTGTTATTCCTACAGAGAGGAGCCAAGTTCCGCCTTCCCTCAGGATATGAGGCTAACCGCCATTGAAGAAACATCTCCTGAACCTGAATCTGCAAGCTCCTCTAGGTCCATAGAAGTTGAAAGTTACAGTCTGGCACCACTTACTGCTGCCAGCTCTTTGGTTGGCACTGATGTACCCAAGTCACAAGTACTGGAGTCTGGTTTGACACGGCTGCACATCAGAACCGGTGCTGAGACGATCAGGAGAGTTCTGCTTAGGTCCTGCAAAAGAAGACAACTAAAACCTGACTCTGGTGGCGTGGCTGGCAGTCAGGATGTAGGAGAGAGACACTCTACACTTTTACCTCAGGAGACGTTAACGTTTCAGAGCCACGAAGTGAAGAAGGACGAGTTTTCAGCTGGTGATGAGAGCGATTTACTGGGTTATGATGCTCAGTGGTCCTGGGTGGACTCCAAGGATGATGTCACATTTTTATGATCTTACACAAGAACGCTTTACATTACATTACTTTAAACTATAACCATCTTGAGTGACAGTGGAATTAAAAATGAACTTTGACCCACGAGTGTCTTTGTGGAATGGATTAGATATTCATCCTGCTCATCAGCTTCTGAATAATCGCTCAATCTGTGCATTTGTTTATCCTCTTCTTGAAATGGAATGGTAATTAATCAGGAATTCTGCATGAAATTAATAAATAAGAACATTGAGAAGGTCATAAAATCTGCTGTGAGTGAAACTGCATTGCTTGTTTTTCTCTGTGTGGTGGAAAAATGGAGGATTTCTTCATGTTTATGCTGCTTCTCTACAATTTGCTTTTAAAGTTTTCTACTCTTTGTCAGACATCCGCATCTTCAGTAGATCTATTGGGAAGTTATTTGACAAACGCACACAGAGCAGTGCATGAATGGAAAGTAGAATGTTTTAATAAAGATTTGAAGAGTGAGTGGTGCATTTCTATATAACCTCAACACATCCAGCCTTCAGAAAACACCTGTCTAGAAAACAGTCGATCTGTTTTTCATTTCATTACAGTATAAATCCAGATGTTCTGCGAAGGCCTCAGAGGTTTAATGAACCAATAAAAATGATGAAACCCAGCAGATTGTTCAGGGAGTAACAACATCTCACAAAGCACTGTTCAATTAATCATCTGAAAATGGATGGCATGGCACAGCTCCATATCTGCCAAGACACCTCACCCTAGCTAACACAAGAGGCTTAACAGGCTCCACCAAATAAATAAGGCATTTATTTTAAAAAGGCAAGAAAGTCATCACTGAATAAAAGCCTCAGGGAGTCTTGTTTGCAATTTGCCACAACCCGTGTAGAGGACACAGAAAACTGTTCAGCAGGTGAAACAAAATTAACTGTTTGGCCATGATGCAAATAATAAATAGTGATACAAAATTACCCTTAGTTATAAATTATACATATCACATCATTTTCATGTTATTTTTAACAAGTAATCTATTGTTGCATTGTTGGTTCAAAATTCTGACTCAATCTTCTCTGTCCAGTATTTACACTACCACAGTAAAGGAGGTTTCTTGGATGCATTATTTTTTTTTAAAAAGGGGATAGAGGAGATTTAAGATCTTAATAATAATAATTCTAATAAAATTTTTCAGTAGCTTTTATAAAAAAAGATCAGGGCAACTATGGACATTATGGTTGCAAAAAAAAAAGATCTCAATATTTGATATACATGTAAACATGGAACACAACATGATTATTTATGGGTTCGACAGCCCAGACTTTTAATTAGAAATAATAAAAAAAAAATTATTGGAGCAGCCTTGGGCCAGATATAGCTTAAGATCGATTTTTATCATTCTGAATGCTAATCTGTTATGATTAGTTAAGAATAAGTATTTTGAGAGACATAATTGTAACTTCAGGTTTTAATAAATGATAAAGATGAGCCTCACAATTGTGGTTGCCATGTTTGTGTGTTGATACTATTTTCTGTAGTCAACACTGTCTCTTTGTCCATTTATATATTCTTTGTCATTTATATATTATTTGTCATTACTTTAAGAATCGTTTTCTTTATAGAAAACTTTTTAAGTCACATTTTCAACGTATGAATCGATGCTTTGTTTTAAAATAGACTACTTTTCTCTCCACAAAAACATCCGAATTTTAAAATATATATCAGTGTTAATTATCAGTTACTTCTTAGTTAGCCGCTTTAACATTTCCTACAGTCCTCAAACGCCCTCTGCTGGCGCTCTGGTGACGTAGCACGTATTCGCACCGAAACCCGGAAGTGCTAAACAGGTAAACTGTTTCTTTTTTTTTTTTTATTAGGTAAAAGAATGTATGGCAGCACAGGTGGACTCGGGAAGATGTAACTAGTCGGAGTATCGGGGAGACATTATGGAGGCCTCTTTTCTGCGTTGGTTGCTTTTTGTCGCACTGCCAGCCTGGACATTTGGAGACGGTAACATTATTTATCAGTAGAAGAAGAATAAGAGATATTAGCTTGACCGCTAACGATTGTATATTTGGTTTGAAGTCACGGTGGCGACAAAGAAACATAACGTAACATATAAAAACAGCTAAATTAGATTATCTAAAATGTAAGGTTCATCAAATAATATTTTGTCCTTAGTGACAGTAGGTTAGAGAGGTAAATAAATATAAGTGCGAAGGATTTAGTTGACTTTCAACGAGAGACTTTCATTCGTTTTGTTGCATTAACCAACTTTTCTGTGAGAAGGAAAAACCATCTTCAATGACTTTTGTTGCTTTAGAGCAGCGGGTCTCGGCACCAAAAGTGTGCAGGAGAAATGTTCAGTTCGATACTTATTGTCAGTTTTATTTAAAATCCGATTTTATAATTCCAGTTTTTACCATTACAATAGAAGCTTTAACCAGAATAAGAGAAAACCGACACGTTACAGGTTGATCGTTATAAATGGTACATAAACTGTAGGAGTTAAAGGTTCATATTCTTCAAAGCACATGTCCATTAATGCTTCCCTCTTTTAATTACCTTTATTTAACTCAAGAGATGGATATCTTATACATACTGTAGAGCAGGGGTCACCAACTAAAAACCAGCTGGGTCCGGATAAAGAAAATCATCAACCAGTAAAGGTCCAGAGACATTTTAACTATAATCTTTTACTTTAAACAGAGTTTAACACTGACATAAAATGAGGTGTTTATGCATCCATGTTATACATTGACTTTTTAAATAAATAAAAAAATGGAAAACATGTTCCATTTTAAAATCTAAAGTAGAGAACAACAATCAATTCAGTTTGGTATATAGACAATTTCCTGATTCACATATTTTATAAATAACCTGAACTGACCATTTGTTTTTTTTTATGACTTAATGAGACCAGTGGGCTTCGTGCTGCCCTGTAAGGCTTTAAACCTGGGTTTGAATGGAGACTAAGCCATTCTCAAGCACATATCAATCAATGTGCTCATTTTGAGCCTGGATCCATTTTTATTTTTGATTCTGTTCATGATGGAGAATCTTGCTTCATAGCAGCAAGTTGAGCCAAACATCCTCTAAATGTGAAGGGTCATTTAAGAGCACGTCATTTCACTTTTCTGTCACCAGTTCACTGCAGTTCTTCCAGCAGTCCACACTTTCTCCTCTCTCTTTTTCTTATCTTCTTCTCCTTCTTTCCCACCGCCCGCCTTGCCACAGGTCTGCCTGCTGTGTTTAAACAGCAACCAAGACTGACAGCAGCTCATTTGAATCATGTGTAGCCTGGTCCTGGACACTCTGGAGGGCTTTACCATTAACAGGAGAAGCGGCACAAGTAAAGTTAGACACTGCTCGTCAGACTATATGCAGATATTTATAAATGTTTTAAATCAGGTTGGGTCCAGCTGGTGGGTCCAGATCCGGACCCCGGTCCGCTAATCCGTGACCTCTGCTCTAGAGTGAGATGTGATGCTTTTAGGGAATAAGGAAAAAATAGTTCTCTTTATAGGCCTGTCATTGGTAGTATTTGGCATTTGTTTGCAACTTTTGAGTTTCCGTATAGCTGGAAAGTGTACCTCTTTACCCAGCATTAGAAAAGAAAACCTTCAAACAGAAAAACAAGCTGCTCTTTGATCATTTCAGGAAACATATAGAAAAGACAACAAATAAAAATAAATTTTAAGTTAAATGACCCCCCTTTTGTTGCAATAATCCTGCTGCAGACACAGTTAAAATGTTTATTGGATGTTTTATTGTCATCAAAGTTATTTTCTCCTCCTCTAAAAAGCCATTTTCAGTCTAGTTTTCAATGTCAAGGATGTTTTGGGCTTTTGGATACACTTTTTTGGTTAAATAATTGTCACTAACCTGATGCTTTTCCAACATAAATAGATATGTGGGAATACATAAATCCTTTTCCCTTTTCTCCCTGCAGATGGCCAGCTGACCTTTGTATCTGAGCTGTCCTCCAAACCTGCTCAGAAGTTGTCAAAGTACAGCTGGTATGCCAACGTCAGACTGCAGAGGTTCCACATACCGGAGGACACCGCCGTCGCTCGCTGGCTCTTCTCTGTGAAAAAGGGCCACAGTTTCCACTGCGGACAGCACAACGTCAGCATGTAGGACACAAAACTCTCCTATAAAACAGTAGCTATCTGTGTCTGATTTTATTATAACCAGATTCAACCTTCCTTGCAGCCATATCCGATGGGGAGCCCCTCCTGTCATAAACCCAACACAGACTGTGTTTCCAAATGCAACACTTTGGGGCCCGTCTTTTTCTCTCACACTACCGGTGACCTCCCAGAGCTCCACCACGTTTAACCTCTCCCACCCGGCTCCAGGGAATTGGTTCGTTGCTGCTCATTTACCAGAGGATGATGGCCGCATAGAGCAGAAGGTTTGTTCAGAGATTTTATTTTATCAACTTTGTTTTTATATCTGTTAGATCTGTGCTTGATGAAAGTTTTTGTTTTTAAGGAAGGTTTATTTGGGGTGGTGAATAAGTGACAGATGCAGAACTGCAGAACCCACTATTGTTGAAACTCTAACCTTAGATGGGATTGAATGTATGGTTGTTTCTTTGTAGGACTGGTTTAAATAATCTAATCTCTGATTATTCGATCTGTCATTTTTTTTTCATTTGTTTATCTTTTAATTAAATTTGATTTAAAAAAAGGACAAATAACATAGATTACTTTCAGAAACTGGCTTTTGATTTTATTTCTGTCATTTTCAGGTCCAAGCCATGTTTCTTACAAACCATTTTGTTTGTTTAGAAGCCTATAATTAAAAGTAGAACTATGGATTGGTCCGCTGATATTGTTTTTTTTCTTTATTTCTTGCATTGGCCTATACCCGCATGCATTCAGCAGCCATGTTGTAAGATAACATGAGGCGCATGCATTCCTGCTTCATCCGTTTACGTTTACCATACATTGTTCTTTTTTTGTTTGGTTTTTAAAATGTATAAAAACAATAAATAATATCTGCTTCAGAAATTGGCCCAAAAAATAGGTGCACATATTGGGGATGAGTTGCAAACCATTTTGTTTTTTTAGGGCTTATAATCAGAAGTAAAACTGTACATTAGCCGGCTAATAATTAAATATATTATCAACCTTAAAAGAAACTGCATCCCCTATCTCTACTTATAAAGAATAAAGCAGAATAGCAGATTCTTTGTCGTATGTTTATTTTTACACAAAAACCTTCTGAAATCCAGATGTGTTTGGCCTTGTAAATCATTCTAGTTCTATTTATTTATTTTTAAAGCAAAGAAATATGTAAAATATAAAATAAAAACCTAAATAAAAGCGAGGACAGTAATTTGCCCACATGGTGGGACCTTGGACACAAACACAAAATCATCCCTAGATGAAAAAGGGGGGAAAAGTTTCCAGCCAAAGAAACCAAAGGTCTATTCTACTGAGCCCCTAAAGGGAGATGGAGGGGAAAAAAAGAACTTTTGCGAGATCCCGCAATACTTTTGCGCAAAAGTATTGCGGGATCTCGCAAAAGTTTATTTTTTGCGATGTCTCGCAACACTTTTGCAAAATCTCCAAATACTTTTGCGAGATCCCGCAATACTTTTGCAGGATCTCGCAATACTTTGCGAGATCTCGCAATACTTTTGCAGGATCTCGCAAAAGTATTGTGGGATCTCACAAAAGTTAATTTTTTGCGAGATCCCGCAATACTTTTGCAAGATCCTGCAATACTTTTGCAGGATCTCGCAATACTTCGCGAGATCCCGCAATACTTTTGCGAGATCCTGCAAAAGTATTGCGCAAAAGTTCATTTTTTGCAAGATCTCGCAAAGTATTGCGAGATCCTGCAAAAGTATTGCGCAAAAGTTCATTTTTTGCAAGATCTCGCAAAAGTTTTGCGGGATCTCGCAAAAGTTTATTGTTTTCCTCGTTGTCCCTTTAGGGGCTCCATACTATTCTATCCATTGAGGTATAGAAAAACTGGAGAAATGATGCCTGAGATGTTTGTTGGACAAACAGACTGGTACCATATCCAGGGAGTTAACTGCTTTCTGTGGAAACCTTTGTGGTCCAGTGTAAAGCATATGGGTGTGATGAAACATCACAATAGCTGTGTAACACTAGCTGGACAGATTTCCTTAGACTGTGCTATGGAACAACAGTTTACCAGGCATTCTGGGACAAGCTCACAGCTGGAAAACAACTATAGTGAGGAATGAACATTTGTGGGGAAAAAATCAATAACAAGGCTGCTCTGGTGTGTAAAGGCGACAGAGCTCCTACTTCGCCAAACACCATTTTCACAAAAAAAATTAATATTAGTGAGCTATGCCGTGTTTGTGTTAAAACATGTCATCAAAGTCTCACCTTTCTTCTCCTGATTTTTTTGTCTTTCGGTTCTTAGTTTTGTTTACTGAGCTGCATTAATCTTTCATTCCAATTCATTCATCTACACATAGTTTTCTGATGACATTTGGCTCTAAATTATCCCATCAGGCTGCTGCGATCCAACTGCAGCTCCAGTCCCTCGTTTTTCCCTCAAATTGAAGGTATAGTGGAGGATGTTGTTTTTGGATCATCAAAATAAGTTGTCCTCTTAATTGTCAGTCCTACGTGCTCGTCCTCTTTTTCACTTTTTGGTGGTGAGACAGACATAGTGGAAGAATTGTGAATCTATTTTTTGGAAAGTAAGCTTGAATGAGTGATGCAAACAGCAATTTTTAAACAAAGCGTGCACAAGAAGAAATGGGCTCTTTTCAAAAAGTCGCGAAAATCCTCCACAGTACCTTTAAAGGCACTGCTGCTATGGTTGGGAATTGAGATTTTCACGTCTGTCTGATTTACGATGCCGATTACGATAATTGATGACTCAGAAAAATATTCTACAGATTAATTTATTTGCAAAATAATCGTTAGTTGCAGCCCTAGTGTGGATCTGCACATCAAAGTCAGGCAGTAAGATTATTCTGAGTGGTCACTATAACACGCGCGTGGGAGGTTGGAGGGGGTTATTGATATGAAGTTCAGTGACAAAAGTGAAAATCTGCCATTTAAACCTGCCTGCAGTCACAGTGAGGTTGTTTTTCTGTAAAATTCCTGTTTCCAACCCCAACCTGCTGAACTGGAGTGGCAGGTAGACGGATCGCTCTGCTTGTCGTTCCGCTGAACCACATTCTTATGCTTTTAGTTGTCAGCCAGGTTTGTTTAGCAATATATCGATTAGAAACGGTATGCTTCTAAAATGTCTCCCTAAATGAGCTTATTCAGCCTTGTCCTCCATACTTGTTTGATTTTATCTATTTTGAAACCACTTGAGAGAAAAAATATGGATTCAGCTTTTTTGTGTTTTTTTTTCAGGGTTTCCCGTCCTGCTCTTATTACTTCCAGCCACTGCTGTCGGTCAGGAGAGCCGTGGACACACCGGTGTTACAGCAGGGAACCTTCCTGACACAGACCGCAGCACCTGACAGACCTGCACGCCTTAAGTAACATGTGGAACAATGTTTCAGTACATTTCCTTCCTCCTATAATGATTGTAAGCGTTCTAGATTGATGGCTTTGTCTCTTAGGATGTTCGTGCCGGAGTTTACCTCGTCTCTTTCGGTTTCTGTGGCCGAGTGCTCGTCAGGGGAGGCTGCGGAGAGCAGCAACTGCCCGCTGCTCCTCAGACTGGGCTCTGCATCGATGCGGCACAGCCAGACGGCGGTGAACTGCTCAGGGAGCCGCTGCTCCGCCTCCCTCTCCAACCCTCCGTGGGACACCTGGTTACGCATTGTGGTGGAGAGCAGCCAAATCAACCAAACCGTTACCTTTAAGATTGTGTCCAACTACACAGGTGAACAGAGATTATTCGCATCATACAGCACCATAAAAAAATAGCAGATCTTTTCTACATTATGATGAATTTCAGCGTATTTAACTAAATTTTTATGCCGATAGATCAACAAAAAGAAGCGGCTAACTTTACAGTTAAACAGTTTTTCTCTTTGATATTGTATTTATTTTATGTCTCCTTCAGTGGGATGTAAGCCTGCCAGCGTAGGCCTTAAAGCAGACGATGACCTCACAAAGCTCCTCGGTAGGAGCAGCGTCTCCAACGTGACGTCAACAGGCAACAGCTCAGGCGCCTCCAACGCATCATCAGCGCTTCCACCGGAGCTGCCCGCGTCCGGCTGCGTGTGGAGCGTCCCTGTGCTCTACGAGGAACTGGACGTTCTGTCTCTCCGTTTCACCCCCGTCAACGGGTCGAACATCAGCATCACGGACGCGTACCCGGCGCTGCTCACGTACCCTCTGCCCGCACAGGCCACGGGGGGCACACTCAATCTGCAGCTCATGCTCAACTCTGTGAGTAACGCTGAGTCACTGACCTTTGTGTTTGCAGTTAGTCTGTATAGACACACCACTTAGATGGGTTTTTAATCTTTTTTTTTTTAGACAAATGCAACGTTGGGGAATAACAGCATCGTTGGCTGTTTTTCTCCCTGGGCTCCTGTCCTCGAACTCAACCACTCTGAACCTTGCCGTACAGGTACAGTTACAGTAACATGCAAAATGAAATAAAACAGTTAATATAATGCTGCTTTGAGTGAATTGATGCAATCATCCATTCTGTCTGTGGTTCTTTGTAAATGAGTCCTTCAGTCTGCAGCCGATCCCAAACTCTGGAATCATTTAACCCCTGCATGTCAGGCAGGCTTCCTGTTTGACCTTTTTCATTTCTTTTAAAGTCTCATCTTTTCTCTCTAGTGTTTAATACTCAAGATTATGTTAATGTTGTTTCATTTTATATAATCTCTTTATGTTATATACTCTTTTTACCTATTTTGTTCTATATTTTTAATGCATTTTGTCAGGTCTAAGCACCTAAAACATCATACATAGATACAGGGAAAGAAAGAAGGCACAGAGACAATTATTTTAGTTGCTCGCGAGAAGAGTAGGAAGAGACTGCGGAGTTTACAATCTCCACCCCACTCTGTGTCTTTAGCTTTCTCCTCGCCGTTTATTGAAGAAAAGGGGATGTCCCTAATTACACCAGCCGAGTTTTAACTAAGGGAAAGGGAAACAAAAGGATCTTACTTTAAACCTCAGCACATATGTTAAAACAAAGCATGTGGTTGTTTTACAATTGAATTGTTCCAAGAACACAAAGACACATATGATAGAGGATGTTCAGGCCTCCTCCACATCCCGTCCGTTGCATGACCTTTATCTGGAACAATCTTAAGCAAGAGTTAATAAAAGATGAATCACACATTATACATCATAATAGTTCATTAGAACACAACCCATGAAACACAAAGTAAGATAAATAAAATATTTCTAACACATTTATTGGTGTTTTTGGTTCTGCTTTTGTGCAGCACTTTGGTTCTTTTGCTTTTTTTATGGTTGTTTTATTATCAATTGATTCATTTGGAAAGTAAAGTGAATCCTTCAGCTTCTGTGAATCCAAAAAAAGGGAAAAGATAAAAGATGATGGAAGATTCCAGTTTAAACACACAAAAAAAGTCCAACTGTCAATTTGGTGAAATGCAGAAATATTTTTGCTTTTATTCAGAAGAAGATTCAAAGCTCCTTTTTAAAGAAATAACCTTCAAATAAAACAACTTTGGATTTATTAACATAAGATTTTACTGCAGCTTGCTGATCAGAGCTTTAGTTTCAAACACAGATTGCAAGTCGGTACCAAATTTAACTCCACCGGTGTTCAAAAACTCTGATGAATCCAGACATCTTGGGGTGGTCATGGACCCTTATCTGAATCTTAATAAAAACGTATAAAGACAGCTTATTATCACAATAGTATAAATATTTACAGATAATATATCATCAAAGATCTGAAAAATATATATTAGTCCAATTCTGAGGTGATCGTAGATTTTAAACTTTCATTTATGGCTCAAACAGTTTAGTAATCAGAACATTAATTATATCCCTGATTAGGGCTGGGCGATATGGAAAAAATACTATATCACGATATGGATTATTTTATATCACGATAACGATATATATCACGATATACCACAACTGATGTTGCATTTTATGTTTTCATAGTCCGTCAGATGGACAGGGTTGAAAAAAATCTTTCATTGCCTATTTTTTACCCATCATCTTGTTTCCTAATATGAGAATCCCAACCCCAAACCAAGAACACCAGTTATGCAATTTGCGGCCATGACAGTGAACAGTATAGAATCTTGGCTATTGCGCTGCAGTAATTAATCATTTAATATTCATTTGTTATTGACATTTTATAAAATTCCAAGGCCAGTTTTTTCTCTTGTCTTTCACTTACCTTGTTTTCCACTAGGAGGCACCTCGCCTATTTAAGAAGAAATGTGTCTGCACTGGTAATACATTAATTAAAATGCCCACATGTTCTACTGGATAGGAGTGTCAGTGTAGTTAAAAATGTGATCCATCATACGACCTGTACCACAATTATGGGTGTTTCAGTTGTTCTCTTTATTTTTCAGCAGTCACAAGAGAAACGTGCTGCACAGTTTAAAAACATGGAACACAACAGTACTATACAACAAACTATAACAAACAGTACACACTAATACACACAGTATGATTTACTCTAAAGGGGAAAAAGTGAATGCTACAGCACCTTTGTGTGTAAACACAACACTCACAGGTGCAGTAGCCTTCACTTTTCCCCCTTCAGAATAAATTATAATATCAGTGAGGTCCAGTAATGGATGCGTATGCTGTAAAAGCACACAGTTCATTGGTGTAAGCATATTAGTAAAACCAATAATAGTAAAACTAGCGAACGTACAAAAGTGCATAGCAATGTCAGGCTCGTACCTTGGGCGAGCATCACTCCGGTGTGGTCCTCAGGAAAGTACACGGTCTGTAGACACCGAGCGCGGAGGGTCCAGTCCGTGATAAGGATGGTGAGACTCATATAAGGCTGTGTTGCTCTACTCATCCACATGTCCGTAGTCAACGCATAATGCGTCGCACCACTGCGTACCTCTCTCTCCACTTCAGCCCGACAACTAGCATATAAGCCAGGCAGCTCCGCTTTAACAGTAAAATCTTCTTGGGTGTCCATCATTAATTTTTTTTCAAGCCAGAAAGAAATTTCACGGGCTCTCTCCATCAGTAATGTCGCAAACGTATGGTGCAAAGCCGCGTGACGTAAAGCGGTGTAGTGTCGCAAAACCACGTTCTCTACACATTATCTTTTTATTCTCTTTTTTTTTTCGTTATATACACTTAGAGTTTGCATAGCAAAAACGCAAAATGTTATATTAACAGATTATATTAAAATGTATATTAGCAGTAATAATAATAATAAAGAAGTTTATCACGATAGAAAAAATAGAGGAGAAAGGTCACGATAGACATGTTTCTCTCGTCCTCACGATATATATCGCCATATCGCCCAGCTCTATCCCTGATCATCTTCGATGTCCTAAACCATTAAGACCTTTAAGATCATTTGAATTTTCAATCCCGTATCAGAACAAAACCATCAGAAACAGGCTTCAGTATTTATGGCCCAGCAATCTAAAATAATCTTCCTCTACACTGCAGGAGTTTACCCAAACTGAGCCTTTTGTTTAAAGGAACACAGTTTTACTAAAAATTGATGGATCCTAAATTCCTTTCAAATTTTATTAATTTAAAGTCATGTGGTCATCTTAATATTTACTATAAAATATATTATTTTGATAAGGCATATTTCCCTGATGTCAGTCCCATTAGGATTTATTTATCTCTCTGTTTAAAAAATGGCCCAAAATAATAATAGGTGATTTCTGTTGATGTTTCAGGCTTTAGAAACTGGCGACACACAGTAACCCACTAACGAGCATAAAAACAAAGATGTACTTTTGGTTCGTCCGTAACAGAAATGCAGTTTGGTGCTTTTTTTTTTGCTACCTGAAAGCCAAACTATCAAAAACACCCATGTAACTCATCCTGGGAATACGACGGCTGCTTTCAAAATGCTAATTTCACCATTTAACTTGAAATGATGCCCTAAAGGACAGTTCATTTGGGCTGTTATAATATTCAATCCTTTTTAGAGTATGTTTATGATTTTTACAATCGGTTGCATATCAAATCAACTTCCATCTTTAATTATTGGCATTTTCAGATATACAGAATATCCTGACCAATCTGCAATGTAACATATACTGTTGATTCTCCACAGCTTTGTTTGGAGGATATGGTGTTGGCATCAACGTCAGTGTCCCTAAAGCTGCAGTCAGGCTGCCTTTCCCTCAGTCCACAACATGGTACCTCACCCTGCAGCTTGTATGCAACAGGTAGAGCACCTCTAAACACTGCATCCATCATTGACTGCTTCATATGTGCACTGCATTATTTGAGTCTTTTTGTAGGACTCATCTTCTTGCTCTTTCTGCAGCAGTGACTGTGGGAACTCGTTCGTAGTGTCTGTGGTGCCAGAAGTGTCTGTCAGTGCCTGTGTGGAGGATTGTGGGTCGTATGGTGAATGTAGGCTGCTGAGATCCTACACCTACTTGTATGCTGCCTGTGTCTGCAGCGCAGGTACCCCCCCCCCAACACACACACACACTTTTATCTATCTTTTTAACTTTACATGGTTTTATTCATATGTTAAAAGAGAACACTAGCAGGTTCTCCAATGTTTCCAGCTTCCTCCAACTATCTGATAACACAACATTTAGTACATTACTCCCCAATTTACACTGTGTGCGGCTCTGCTCCACCGGGCTCAGGTTTCTGTGCAAATATGCAACCATTTTTACCAATTAAAACACTTATGGTATGTTCACATTGAACACGATTTAAGCAGCACAAGCAGCTGCTTTACATGCAAGGTATAGGGTTGAAGCGCATCAAAAGGTCCTGCAGAGTAGCTGAAGCAGCACCTCTTGAGCATTTCAGCATCTGAGGTGCTCCACATGTTTCCATGAGTTGGAAAATCTGAACTTTTGCTGCTCGACGTGCCGCAACAACCAATCAGAGAAGCTGATTTTATATATATACATGATATGAAGGGGGTAAAACTTGTTTATATCATATATATTACCCCATTTACACTACCCTTGAAAAACCGTGCCGAGACCGGTCCGAGCTCAGTAGCTGAGATAACTTATCGTGTGTAAATGGAAAGCAAACTGAACTGAACCGAGCTAGACACAACCGGACCGAGCTAACTGCAGACCAGTTCCAGAGGTGGGCTCGGCTCGGTTTTTCCCTGGCTCGGTTCTCTGATAACAAGAGCGCATGAGCAGAACGCGTCATCTCCGTCTGGCTGCACATCGCGATTCACACTCCATTCCAGTAGTTGGCGGTAATGCCCCTCCAGAAACAGAAGAACGGCTTCTTGTTAAATTATAAAAAACAATCGAAATCTTCTCCACGCAACATTTTAAATAATGGCATTTTAAATAATAACACAGAAGTACAGCAATAATAATCAAGCATAACTTTCTGAATGTGACGGGCGCCGCCATTTTGATTTGCTTGATTGCCTCCTTCTTCGTCTTCTTCTTCTTGTGTTTTATGGCGGTTGGCAAACAACTTTTGGAGCATTACCGCCACCAGCTGCTTGATTTCCTCCTTCAATACGGCAGTAATACCGCAGATCGTCATTAGGAGGCGAGGAGTCGAGGAACCGAGATAGCGTGATGTGTAAACGGTCGTCAGAACCGAGCTCAGTCTGGTTAACTGATCCCAGCTCGGACCGGTCTCGGCATGGATCGGTTTCTCAAGGGTAGTGTAAATGGGGTATCTGTAAACTAGGCTTTCATGAAAGGAGAATTTATTTTGTTCCATGTACAAAGAAAATTTAGCGCTATGGTCACTCCACCAAAACGGTTATTTAAAAGCTAAATTAACTTTGCTCACAGTACTTCCAGCTGGGTTTCCATGGATCCTTAAAAAGTCTTAAAAGGCTTTGAATTCTTCAATAAAAAACTAAGGCCTTAATTGGTAATAAAATGTCTTAATTCAGTTTTTCATAGGTTTTAAAACTGTTACCACATCATAAATAGGATTTTATTTTTGTAATCCATATCAAACATTAAAATAATTGACAATAAGGTTTTTTTTACAATTGCTGAACGGCTCGCTGCTCTTATCTCACCCCTTCTTTGAAAGTCTTGCTTAGTTACTGAAATACTGAAAAATACTTTTAATGTTCTACTGTAGTTTCATTAACTGAGGCAAATGTTTTGTCCTGAAAACACAGGATAACGTCTTCAGATCTGCGCTAGACACTGAATGTGTTTTAATAAAGGAAAATAAAATCAGACTGAATAACCTATAATGTAACAGCGTACGCTGTAATCTTGATCAATGTTCTTTTTGACCTCTGCAGGTTGGAAAGGTTGGGGCTGCACCGACGGCTCCACGGCCCAGTCATACAGCCGCCAGCTGACAGCAACCATGTTGCTCACACTCAGCAATCTGTTCTTCCTGCCCGCCGTCGTTGTTGCCATCAGACGCGCCTACATCACTGAGGCCTCGGTCTACATCTTCACCATGTTCTTCTCCACGGTAAAGAACAAATTACTTGTGGCTGTGGTTAAAGTTCCCATAACTGGAAACGTGCTGTGAAACCATCCGGGAAGCAATATGGTATAGATCTGTCAGAGTTATATCATTAACACACAAATGGAATGTTTTGTGAAGTTTTAAATATTGTTTTTTACTGATAAAAATCTAAAATATGCTTGTTCACCTTGAATGAAACTGTAGAAGCATCACTCCTATAAGGTTAGCTTCTCGTCTGCTTGAGTTTGAGTTTTATTGCTTAAGCTTTCTTGCTAAAAATTTCAGGGCTCTGCTTGGATTAACAATAGTAGATTATAGTTTGCAGATCTTCTGACAGATTTTGAATTGGAAAATTAGGTCTAGACTTTAACTAGGCCATTTTCAATCTATTTGCTTAGAGTTGTTGCTCTGGAATGGGAATGTAGTGAAGTTCTGAAGTGTTTCCATGTGCCTGCTAAAGAAAAGCCCTCCCACAGCATGATGCTGCCTCTGCCATGTTCCATCGATGGGTTAATGTATCACTTTTCTAGTAAGAATCTGTATTTAGGGACATCAAAGTAAAAGAGGCAGAACATAGATGCACATACAGAATGTGAAGCTGTTTTTTTTTTTTTTTTCATTTGATGAAAGATTGGGAAGTTTTCTATAAATCCTCATTATTCCCGTCTCTTCCTGTAGTTCTACCATGCCTGTGACCAGCCCGGTGTGGCGGTTCTGTGCATCATGGACTATGATGCCCTGCAGTACTGCGACTTCCTCTGGTCGATCTGCTCCATCTGGGTCACCATCCTCTGCATGGCTCGCCTGGGAGACGTAGCTAAATATGTGAGAGGCCGCTAGTCAACCCGACTGTATTCTGTAATGACAGCTTCAGCGTCTTCACCTGGTCCTTCCTTCCTTCCTTCCTTCCTTCGTTCTATTTGTGTAGACCCTGTTTTTACTCGGAGCCTTGCTGATTGCCATGTCGATGCAACTGGACCGGAAGGGCTTGTGGAACCTGCTGGGCCCCATCCTTTGCGCCATACTTTTCATGGTCACTTCCTGGGTAAACATTTGTTTGGAAATAACTGATGTCAAAGCAAGCAGTAATGATAAAACTCCTGCTTTTTACGTAACAGCTTTCAAAATTATTATTTCTTTTTTTTTATATGCAGGTGTACCGGGGGGTCCGCCGGAAACACTGCTACCCGCCCTCATGGCAGCGCTGGGTCTTCTACCTGATCCCCGGTGCACTCTGTGCTCTCATCGGTGTGTGCCTGTACATCTTTGCAGAGACTGAGAGCAACTACTACTACACGCACTCGCTGTGGCACATCCTGGTGGCCAGCTGCGTGGTGTTCCTGCTGCCACCAAAGGAGAAGGACAGGAAGGCTCTGGGCTGGAGCCAGGGCTTCAGCTGGAGGTGGAGCTGGAGACCTCGGGTTTGTGGATACACGCTCTGTGAGAGCAGCAAAGATGAACTTTATACCGTCACATAGCAGCAGAAGGAGGAGGAGGACAGGCTGGTGATTTGATTTTCAAACCTGGGAAACATTTGAGCAGCAGATAGCTACGGCCCTTTTGGCAAAGATCTGGTTTTAGAGTCTCTGTAGTGAATAATGACCTGAATGAGGCATTTTCTTAATACAGCTAGATAATTGTATTCTCAAAGGTCCACTTATATTTCATACTTAAATGCTCATCAAATGGGACAGTGCTGTGAGAGTTTAAAAAGATCTGCTCCTGTATGTTCCTCTCAACCCAACCAATCAGCTGCAGCCTTTTAAAGAATAAATACACTAATGAGATTATTTGAAACTTTGACCTGCTAGTATAGATTGGAGCTCATTCCGCTTACTGCTTAAGAGCTATATTTACCAAATACTGCTAAGAATTTGGATTTACTATCTTAAAACAAAAGTGCTCTTTTGGATCGACTTAAACATCAGCACAATTAGTCTATTATATCTGCAGCATTCTATAATTCAGATAATTTAAAACCCAGAAACCTCAGAAAATATCCCAAATGCTGCTAATATTTCCAGATGTCATATAGGAGACGGAGGCTCCTCTTTCCTTATAATATTGGGTCTCAAAAGGACCAAAACAGAAAAAGTAAGAAATCCTTTAGAATCACACCTGGAAACCATGGCAACAACCCACTGGATAGAAATCCTGCTTGCAGCCCGTCGGTCATATGTTAAACTAACCTGTTAGGATGCTCTAAGAGCTTCTCCTTTGACAATTAAACAGTCTGATTTAACAGTTTGCAGCACTTTTCAAACAGCCTCTTGAAATGCTTCCTCAGAAAATGTTTTTAGCATCTTACTGGTGCTGAAAAAGACAACCTTGAATCTTCCTCAGTAACAAATTTCAAATAGAAATCATTGTTTTCTGCACCGCCTGTTAGCATCTCACTGGGAACATGTGGATATTTTAGGTTTAAGCTCAAAGTTGCTGGTCGTTTCTACTTTGAATTAGTTTTTGCTTGTTTCCGTTTCTTTAACATAGATCTGTGTGTTCTGCTTGTAGCATTGGGACATACAGGTAACTGACAAATACAGGTGTGTACTACAAAGCAGGATTAAGAGCTTAACATAGGTGTTAAATGTTAAGAAAGAGTTTTTCCATTTAAAGAGGTGGATGTTTGAAATGCTTGCTTGATCACCTTGGTAACATTAGTTTTCCCATAAGCATAACCAACATTAATAAATTTATATTGAGAGCTTTCAATATAAAATCACTCTGCAGCACTGTAAGTTAGGAAGTAAAGGGAGGTTAGGACATAGATCATTACACTGGTAACTATTATTAAATTGCGAAATTTAAAATTTTCTCCTTTAGTTTTATAATACGCTTCATTTTGGTAAAACACAAAAGTATTATATTTAGGAGCTTTGTGGTGGCCGCATCATTAGAACAGGGTCGATGATGAACGACAGTTCATCATCGACACTGTCGATACAGCAAACACCAAAAGATTCACTTTTCTTTTGCAGATTTACTGATCAGATTATTTAGCTGATTATTCGTCTCAAAGGTCTCTTAATCAAAATGATGACAAATTTCACATTTTAAAATTAAAGCAGTCATTTCATACACCATGCTTTTAAAAAAAAACACCAAAACTATGTCGTTGGTAAATGTTTTTGTTCTTTTTGAGCCTGGGAAAATGCTAGCGCTCCTAGCTAACATCAAGACTGCTGTTTACCGTCGCCATCTGCTGGCTGTATGATGCCAAGACCACTAACACCAAAGTTCATGTTGTATTCTGAGCATCACTGGTCTCTTATTCCTCCTGGCATCATATATATATATATATATATATATATATATATATATATATATATATATATATATATATATATATACCAAAATATATATATATATAATTTTTTGTGGTCGATTTTTTTTTTTCTTTTTTTTTTTTTTTTTTTTTCACATTTGATCTTTAACTTTCTTCCGCCGGGGAAATCCTGACTTCACAAAGTTTACTAACAAACGGAGCAAAAACAAAGCGTGAAACAGAAATATGTCACTGTGAATTCATCTGAAAGCCTTTGTGTGAAACCAAAGTGAGGCGAAATGGCATAGAAATGAGTAAAGTCACAGTCAGAGACTGGGCTTTACCTTAAGTCAGAGATTCTTTAAATGGTGCACACATTTCCAAATCCAGCATTCTAAGGGTTAAAATAGAACTACTGTGGTGTAATCTGTTCATCCTTCCTGTTTTGTCTAAAAGTCCTGCTCTATCATTCTTACACAGCATGAACAAACCACAGACATAACTGTTTTTGTTTACGTTTCCATTGCTTCTTTATTTTAAACAGACTACTGATAGTTTAGGCCAGGGATCTGCAACCTTTATAATCCAAAGAGCTATTATACCCAAAATAAAATGAGAGCCACAAATATTAAATGACCTTAACATAAAACAAAACCCACTATGTTTGCTATAGATATCTCCCTTTAGAAAGTGGTGTCATTTTAAACAATTTCATTTGCATTTTTTGCTCTTAAAATACGGATAAAATATGAGTTTGCTAAAGAGGAAGCATTGTTTTTTTGGTTTTAGTTTTTAAGGATATTATTTTATCTAAATAAATAAACAAATGTCAAGCTATTGACAAGAAATCTAAATGTAAAAACATATTTCTGATTATTTAATGCCTTTCGCCAATAAATTAAGAGCCATTGTAGGGGGTCCAAAGAGCCACATGCAGACCCCTGGTTTAGGCAAAGTGCAGTCCCTGATCACATTAAGAAAAGGTTTTGTTTTTGTTTGTTTTTCATACGTCATAAAATCATCCAAATCCAGTTTCCTGCTGATTTATCAAAATATTTCTGTATCTAAGTTAAAAGAGAAAAAGATGTTTTTTCTTGTTTTATTTTTATTTCTGTATTTATGGCTTTCATCAGCGTAGGACATGATTGCATAAATGATATTGCTTTTCAAAACTCAGCCCACACTAATACGATGCTTTGTTCATAAATGATGTAATGTGTCTGTTTTTCCTTGTAGGTCTGGGTTATGTTGGAAGAGTTTAATACTCCAGATGAAATTTGAATAATTCTTTACTGCCAGGTACTATAATTTCCTGCATTCTATTGTATTCCTTGAAATTAAAACATCAGACCACATCTCAACAGTCCACCTAGAAGAAGGAAAGTAATGCTTTTTGCCTAAATCTGCTCATCACAGCCACTTGTGTCTTCACACAGCGTCACAAGTCTGATAATCACATCTCAGTCTCAGGGCTGCAGATCAGAGCAGCCTGGAGCTTCTTACCTGTCAAGAAACAAAAAATGAAGAAAATGCATGAAAGATTCAGATTTACTGCGTCTTTAAGTTTGGTAAGACCAATTCTCTCTGCACTTTCCTAAAAAGGCTATTCTTGCGGGCAAATTCTTTACTATTCTACAACTAGGGCTGCATAATAGAAAAACCTTTATTAGAGGTAATGTTGGTTAACATTTAATGACAATGTCAGTTGAGATATGTGCCTATTTTCTTCTCTACTATCTTTTGTCACCTGGGCTTCCATCACTGTGTGACCTTTAACGTTTTGGGTGATGTCATCTGGTTATGGTGTAACCATCCGCTGCCTACTGGCTAAATATTTCACTAACATGGAAAATATAATTTTATTACTCTTGGATTATGTTAACCAACAACCTCTGCACTCCAAATGCTCCTTTGCACACGCCGATATTGCCATGACGACATATCCCCCATGTATTGTGCAGCCCTGAACTTGCCTCGACTCGTTCGTTCCAACTATCTTCAACAAACTCGTCTCCAGATTTCTTTTAAAGCTACTTGCCGTACATTTTTCATTTATCATTCACACTTTTTTTACTGTATTTTGTTACCTATAAAAATTAATGTTTAATTGTTTTGATTGTTTTTCCTGTTGTGCTGTACTTTTTTCTTTTATTGGTGACAACACATCAGGCACCTGATAGTTATTTGTATTTCAACTATTTCAATTTTAAGTTCATTTTAAATCCAGCAAGAGTCTACAATTTGTTCAAATTTTTCTGTCTTTTTCTGAGTTGTTATCGACTCTAGGCAGTTAGCGCCCTGAGCCTACTGTGATGTCATCAACCCATATGCACACAAACGAGAATTGGCTAGCTGGGGTTGTTTTCTTTTTTTTTCTCAATCCATTTTGTGAAATTTTGCAGAATGGATATAAACATTAACTGTTTTCATTGTCTGCAAGTGGAGAAAAAAATATAAGACAAGATAGGATCTGTGTTAAAACGTGGTTAACAAAGCCTAAGAGAAGCCAATGTTTTCTGTTAATCAAAACACTAACTGCTAGATAAACAGCTGAGTTTGTTCATTATTTTAAATGTTCTTTTTCAGTCTGAAGCACTTTGTTTTCACTGTCTAATGTAAATTACCCATATGTGTATGAATCAGCGCTGATTGAATGTATACTAAGATTATTGCCCAGTGCCTCTTCCTTAGTCTTTTTGTGATTGCACTTTATATATATGATAAAATGGGAGTTGGGGTGTTTGTCTCATATAATCTAGTTCCATTGTGTAGTTTTGTGTATTAGATTTTCTGTTGAAAATCTCTATTTTCTGTTTTTGTCTTTTTTCGTTTCCTGCTGTGATTTTGTTGCATCGAGGCTCAAATATTTTGAGGGAAAACAAAAATTACCACTGTTTGAGTTCCTCAAAGGATTTTATTTTATTCAGTTATTCGTCGAAACTGAGTGATGCCTTGGGAAAATAAATCTGATGTGAAAGAAGAAATGATTCGTTTTGTTTTTGTTTTTTAAGCCTGGTGGGGATGAAAAGACTGAGTTTCAGCCCACAGAGGGAGTGGGACTAGGGGGAAGCAGATTATGATTATCCTCAGAATTGTAGACAGCAGTCCGGTTGATATGCACATAACTGTGTGAGTAGTTGGGTCCCTATTTATAGCTTACCTCCATTAGGATATTTGATGGGCCTGAAAGGCTTACAGATCACACACTGCAGCTTCTTACAGCTTTTCAGAAGCTGGCATATGAGAAGGCTAAAACACATGTTAACAGGTTTAAAGCTTCTCTGCTTTGAGTTAGAGAATCAGGAGTTTTGAAAAAAGCAACAACAAAAAAATGAATCCTTCGAAAACGTTTTAATTTATCGTTTATAGATGCTGTACCGTAAAACTGTCTTTGAAAGTTAACAGCTCCTTTTACGGTAATTGAATTACATGTTGCCAGTAGAGGGAGCCATGCTAGCAGATTATTCCAGATTATAGGAGCTTCATGGTACAAGGTCTACATTTTAGGACATCCTCAGGTTTCACTAAAAAAAGATTGTCAGAGCTGGTCTCTACACAATGAAGGTCTCATATATATATTTTTTAAATCCAAAATCTGTGAAATTTTGACCAATTGAGCAGTTTTATAAAGCCACATGCATGAAAGCACCTTCAAATAATTTTTTGTCATAAAAGCATAATGTATATAAACTGTTTTTTTTTTGTTTGTTTGTTTTTTTCAATTTTGATCACCCTGCTTTAACCAGCAATCGACTGAGGTAAACTCAAATATCCATTCAGTTGGTCAAGAGCTCTAAACATAAAAAAGGAGCTCTGTCATTTCCTGACACCTAAAACCTAATGAGCTATTTTTATCCTAAGACCTTAGGATGTCCCATAATATACACTGTACCATGGTTATTTTGTTGTGGCTTAGAATGCATCTTACAGTTAAATAGAGAAATGCCTCTAATTGCAGGTAAGACCTTAAACGCATTGCATCTGTCTGTGGCATCATGGCAAATTAGAAACAGTGTAAAATATCAGGAAGAGAATTGTGGACCTTTTCAAAACCAGTTTTATCCATTCAGCTGCCACTTTAATATAAAAGTAAGTAAGAACATACCATATTCCCAGCATCATGTGGTTAGGAAGGAGATGTGTATGCTGGAACCTAAAGGAACTAAAACATTACAAAGCAAGAGAGGAAAACCTGGAGCTAAAATACATGAAGTTTAAACATGGATATTAAAAGCATGCAAACCTGAGGGTTAACAACACCGACTGCTTTGTGACGTTTTATTTCAGATGAAAGCATGCAGAAAGATATACAAGAATCAGAGAGCAAAGTCAGAGACGAGCTGAGTCAAGATGTAAAGTTTAGATCTGATTCCTAATTTAAAAAGGCCGTGACCAGAGCAAGCAAATATATATCTACCTAACCGTGCTTTGCACCTTATCTGATGAGCTTAGAGCAAAACAGAACATCTGAGATGGACAATTTCTAAAGCAAATGAGCACAATGTTTGGGTTTAGGATGATGCAGAGGCGGTGAAAGCAGCCATTCGCTGCTCATGCTCAGATGAGATGTCTGTTTTCTTGCAGGAAGTTTGATGCTAAATAGTAGTTTTCTGTGAAAGAGGGGCTCCGCTTCCTACATTCAGAATGATTAGAAACAAAACGGCGGAGAAGAAGTCCGTGGTCGGTTGCTGTGGTGAACGACGGAGACAATGGAGATAGAAGTGATGCAAGTCAAGACGCCCCTGCGGAGTTGGTACCTGCTCGCCCGTCCTCCTCCGCTGGCTGAGCGCCGGCCTGAGCCGGGGAGGGGCTGGAATGTCTCTGGCGTCTCATGAAGGGGAACACACTGAAGGATGGGAGAAAGTTACTTTGAGAAACTGATGTTTTCACTCAAAAACAGAAAAAAATGAGATATTACCTTTTCTTAGTTTCCTGGGGGACGACAGCTTTGGCCAGCAGGTTTTTATACAGATCGGATTTTAGATACCTGGGGTAAGAATCCTAAATACACCAAATTACAAGTTGTTAAAGAATGGGAAAGATGAAATACGTCACTGATAGTTTCCTTGGAATCAAATGAGATACGAGAAGAGAGAACTTTAAGGACCTTCTTCATGAGGAAGTAGATGTGCATCTGTGCGTCATCGAAAACAAAGCGATGAGGCCGCTTGATTCCTTCTAAAGTTTTATCCATCGTCTTACTGTCAATGTTGACCCAGCGGGCCGCCCCAGGGGCCAGGAAATTTCTAGATAATAAAAAAAATTTGTTTTTTCCCTTTAAACCAGAGAAATTATGTACTTTATTGGGATTTATGGTAAAAACAAAGTAGCATATGAGGTGGAAGGCAAAGGAACGTTATTTATTTTATTTTTTAATATGAGCAAAATTTTACTCTGATACCCCAAAATAAAATCCATCCAAACTTCCATTAATTGTACTCCGGTTAACTACGACCCATTAGCGAGTTACCAGCTACTGGTGCCTCTACCAGTGACACCCTCCAGTTTAGTGGGTTCTGGGTCTCTTCCCAGTAAAATCTACATGGAAAGTCCCAACAGGGAGGTGTGCAGGGGGGCTCCTGATTAGAAGTGTAAATCACATCAACTCACTCCTTTCAATGCAGTTTTTCCATCTTTTTAAGTACTTCTAAAAGTCCAAGCGAAAGGGTCCAAATATGTAAAGTTGCTTAATATATCTCTTTTGCTTGTCTGGCATCGTATCCATGCCTCCTTTGTAGCATCAATGACCACAAATAAACATCAGAAATGTTTCTATTTGCATATCATCCACCCAATAATTTGCATAGTTTATTCATTAGAATTTGACGTGCATATTGATGAAAAAAGGTCTGCTGAATAGTAAAACCTAAACACTTTGCAGAATAAACTGCTTTAAATCAGAATCAGAATCAGATTAATTGCCAAGTAGGTTTGCACTTGTAAGAAATTATGACATGCAGAGCCAATAGTTAATTTCCTTCCATTCCCCAGTAATATGTTAATTTGAGCTGATATGTCACGCTAACCTCCCCATAACTATGTATTAGTTTAAATGTGTAAATGACACTATCAGGATTCAGGTTTTTGTAGGGGAACACTCACTTGTAAACATCTTCCACCTTTTCTACGATCTTGGAATTTTCTCCATGTCTTATTTCCTCACATGCCAACCAGAAATGTAGGTTCTCCGCTGAGAATGATAAGACACACACACACACACATTAAGGTACGTAAACAATGACGCAGTGAAAAAATGAGACTTTATATAGCAAAAGGGCCTCTGAGGAATATGATGGCTGCCGGCAATATTTCATTCACAGTTTCTGCTTGGATGAACAAATCCTTTTGACTAGTTTCCCATCCTTTCTTTGCAGTATTTTTCTTCCACTGACATCTTTCATCACATTTGTTCCTTATTCAAGCATTTTGTTTAACTCTCTCAGCTAATAGTTTGATAATATAATTCTTGTTTTCTGTTTTGAGAATAGCAAAAGCTACCAGGAGGAAACTCAGATTAAGATTAAGAACATAGAATAACTTTATTGTAATAACTATAAGAAAAAATAGCTACTACATAGTTTTTATTCAAGTTGTTATACAATTTATGACAGCTAACTGGATCTATTTCAAAGTTTCAAAGTGCACTGTTTTGCCTCCATTTAGCTCAGTGTTACAAACTAGAGATGTCCTGATCCAGGTTTTTGCACTTCCGATCCGATACCGATATTGTTTTTTGGCTTCCGATCCGATACCGATACTGGCCGATACCAGCCTATCCCAGCATGTATTTAAGTTTAAGTTAAAGTATTTAGCCTTAGTTGTAAGACTCATGTTGAAAAGGGTTTTAGTACTCTTGATAACATCTAGCCAGCTGAATTAGGTGAGATTGAATAAAACACAATGCTTGGTAACAACAAACTTACCTGTTTATTAAGAGATAAACACAAACTGGACAAAATTATTAATAGCAATCTGAAATTTCACAGTGAACAGTAAAACCGTAAACAGTTAAAGGTGCAAGTATTACTGTAAGTTTTAATAATAATGAAAAACAGGGAAACACTGGCGCAAAATAGTTGAATGGATTGTTTCAATCGGCAAAACTGGAAAATACAGACCGGATTTTTTTTTTAAAAACTGGATCGGCAGTCTGGATCGGCATTTTACATGCTTTGCCGATACGCATTTTTTTGCCAATATCGGCGTCCCGATCCGATACATGGATGAGATCGGGACAAGCCTATTACAAACATCTGGGATTCTCACCACTGAACTCTTTCTCCAGGTACGTCATGAACTCCCGCCTCCCCATGGCGTCGGACAGAAGCTCCATGAAACTGAAGCTCCAACGCTCCACGCGAAGACGAGTAGGAACTGGCACCCTGAGCCAAACAAACACATGATCAACTATGTTGTTCCGTGTCCAGATAACATTCAAAACTCTTTTTTAACCAATACCACTTTTTATAACCTTTCTTTTTGTAGTCACTAAGCCAATTGATAATTATAGATTCACAACATTACACCATCTCAAAGCACTACACAGTTAAATTAGTGTGTTAGACTTCTGGTGCTGCGGTTGTATGTTGAAAGTAGACACTTGCTTAGGCTAAAGGGCAGATTAAGGGCAGATTATACTTCTACAACTGCAAACATCAAATGTCACTTGGGTCTGGTCGCGAACCAGTTTTGCTGGCATGCCTTTGAAACGTCGGTCTGGAATTTCTAGGGACGCGCAGCAGTTTCCCGCCAAAGCGCAAGGGGGAGCCTATTCGAGAGCTCACGAGAACTTCTTCGGCGGCGCAGGAGTGTTTATTTTCCAAAACAACATGTCTGAGGCATCGTACAAGTGGTTGTACTTCCAAACCTCCTCGATCAACCTTTCGTCGTGGTTATGCATTGTTGTTATTACTCCTCTGTTTTTAAATAATGGCGCGCCTCGGCACCAAATCGAGAAGGACAACAACACAGATAGTCGGA